ATGAATGCTGGGAGCCAGGGAGCGAGCCAGCTGATCAAACACATCCTAAGTAAAAACACAAAAGTAGAATTTTTTTAGTTAAAGTGAGATCCTTTTCATAAGCTTGAGCAGCTATGAGCAACAAGGAAGGAAAAGTGAGGCCTTACTATGGAGCGAGTCTGGCTGAACTTCCTGATTTTGGCTATATCATCTGCGGAGAAGAGGGGGGACACTTCCTTGCTCATCTGTTTGACGTGGCAGGCTATCATGATGGTCCTGAGGAGAAACGGATGGAAAACTACTAACAGAGAACAACGACAAACTCAGCAACTTTAGTACATGTTTTATCCCATCTCACCTGAATGTGCCAGAGGTGAATCCTCCCTTCTTGCCAGGCAGGCAGCGATATGTTCCGATGACCTGCACTCTGTCTCCTGGTTTGACCATGTCCACCAGGTCATTGTCCAGGATGATGTCCACAGAGCGGGGCAGCTGGCCAGCGGGGGCTTTCTCAGGCATCTCCTGCACTGTGATGGTCTGGTGGTCCTTGTAGATGGAGAGACCAAACTCTGTCTCCAGAGGGTTGTTCTCCTCATCCTGTCCAAAGACGCGGAAACAGAGGGAGTAAAGATGTGTGAAAAATCAGGACCACGATCTGTTTTGGTCAAACAGTAAGCACACACATTTTCTGAGCATAGCTACCTTGGTGGGGTAGATAGCACTGGAGGGGAAGGCGTCCAGTGAGGTCATGTCAGTGTACTTCCTTTCCATTGTCTTCTTGGTGGCTGGGCAGTAGTGGACACTGCGCACTACTTTCGGACGCACCAGAGAACCTGAAGAAGAATGTGAAGGGAGTAATGATAAATGTTCTTAATATCACCTTGAAAGGGAAACATTCAAAGATTTTATCAAGTATAAAGCAGTCAAAGAGACAAGCAGTGATCCCCAAAGACAAGGAAAATTAACATCTACTTACACTTGGTGATGATGCCCTCCACACACACCATGCTGCCCAGCAGGCGGGAGGTCAGGGTCCGGGGGGTGACGTGTTTGTTGCCAAAGCTGCCCTCCAGGCCGATGAAGAACTCCTCATACTGCTTGGCGTAGGTGGCGTCCACTGAGGCCACCAGATCCTTCAGAGCTCGCTGGAATGCCAGAAGCTCCTCAAAGGCATTGTTCATCAGTCTGGCAGAGAGGATAAAACATTTGAGTCGTGGGCGTGGCTGATTTCAAAATCCAAATGTTTTAAACTCAGACCTGCTGATCCGTGCATGATGCCAAAGCTGCCCCCCATGGCCCTAATTGTTTTAGCATTTTCCATTCACTTACATGAAACAGTTAGCAGCATCCTTTATTAAATTATCCGAGACTAACCGGCCAGTCACCGCACATGGCCAATCAAGCTGAAAATCGCGTGATTCTAGTCAGCAGTCGATCGATCGGTGCAACTTTGCTTTTTTTGTTGTTACATACAGAAATAATAACACATCGAAACTCTAGAAGATTTAATGAGAATGAAGCGTTTTGCTCGCTGTTTCAGCATCGCTATGCGCCTCATGCTTCTCCACTCTAGGTGCCTGCCGTATTTGCCGGAGTACTCTGAACTCCTTGAGTTGAAAAATCAACTCAGAGCAGAGAAGCACCCTACGTCATCTCCACTATTGTCCCATTGTCCAGTTGGATGATTTGAGAGGCGGGCCATCTGTGGTCAATCAATCAATTTTATTTATAAAGCCCAATATCACAAATCACAATTTGCCTCAGAGGGCTTTACAGCGTATGACATCCCTCTGTCCTTAGGACCCTCACTGCAGATAAGGAAAAACTCCCCCCCTTTAACGGGGGGAACAGGTGGTTGGGACAACAAGTTTACAGCTGGTTAACAATGGAGGAGAAACTGGTGGTTGGGTTGTTGGATACCCAGAGCTATATGACCTAACAAACCGCAGTTACCACCATCGCATTAGAAAACAGCAGGTGTGGAAGCATTTAAGTGCAGTACGTGAAACTGCCATCACCAAGGTAAAGCTCCTGGACCAACTGGTGGTTCTCCCTGTGGTCCACCATCTTTTTTTTGTCATGTACCCACACAGATCTGTGTCCCTGTGCTATTTGCTGACAGCCTCTCACCCTCAACCAGAGCTACAGCAAGTCTCCTCTGCCTGAACATTTAGGAACTACATACTAATAACTGTGAAATAAATAAATAGATGGTGTGTTGATTACACAGGAAGGTTAGGGTAAGGATGTGATGGTATAGTTGCCTGGCAACAATAGAAACCTGTTGCAAGCGTTTTTTATTAGTGGCATTCAATTAAAATAAAAAGGCAGTGCGGTGTGCCTCATGTTTTGCAACCTGCAAAACACTTTCTGTGTGATCGGGGTGTAAATCAGTTATGTAGCCAGGGCCTCTACAACATGCTACAGAACACCGTGTGCTGCATGTGTTTCTGGCTATGATACTGTAAATAGTGGGTTTTTTTTGTTTGTTTTTTTTACAGTTTACATGCCCACAAACCTGCCAGGGGTTAAGAGGGAATGTAAAATAAAAACAGCATCTAACCATTTAAAGTTGTATGTACCCCTGCCCTAAGTCAAAATTGAAAGTGCTTAACAGAATATTTCATGTGCCCCAATTTGCACCACCCCTCCCCTCTCATAAATAACGAACGGTCCCTTATAAAGACGCCGAAATGTAATGTGTCAGTGCCAATGCACAGAGAGAGAGTTTGGTTCCTTACTTTGCAGCCCGGGCCTCGTTGCGTCTCCTCAGGTCGTTGATGTTGACGATGAGTCGAGCTTTATTCTCACCGATCATGTCCCGGACTTTGCTTTGGTAGATCCCCTGGTCTTGCTGCAGGGAACGGGCAGAAGGGCTCGGTGTTTTTCAATTGTTAACGCAGAACAATATGATATAACCGGGCTCAAAGGAAATATGCATCAGTTTATGACTGACTAAACACAATTAGCTAAACTCAAAACACACTCAACTGTTGCCCCAGGCTTCACAGTCACGTTAGCATTTGCAAACTAATGTCATTTGACTGTCAACAGCGATTATTGTTACAAACCAGCCAAACGAAGAGCAGTTCTTTTGTTATGACCACATGGTTTCTCATTCCACCCCAGAACAAACCGGATTAAAGTCAGACTTACATCGTCGTCCAGGAAGTCCAGGTAATCCCTCTGAGCCTCCCTCATCTCACGGTCGTCTACGACGTCGGTTGCCATTATAAGCGATTATTTATTATACTGTAAAAATCTTGAAGGGTTGCACAGAGTTTGGTACCGTATGTACTCTGCTGCCGTCAAACCACACACTGTAGAGTTTTCGCGCCACTGCGTGCCGGCTACAAGTAGAGCGTAACATGCGATTGGTCAACTCGGCACGTACGCTTTGCATAGTCGGCGGGTAAATGTACCGCCGTCCAATAAAATGCACCGTGACACCGCATAACTCCGCCCCCTCAAAGAACTCGCGCGAAAATGGAGCAGGAAGGGGCGGCCTGTTACAAAGGAGGAAAAGCATAACCCAGCCAAGCGTTAGTCAGGTTATCCAGGAGATGGCGACATAAACAAGGACCTGAAGAATTTTGGTAATGACAAATGGATTATAGGCAATACACTGAAAAAACACGTTTAAAAAGAAGGGAAAGAGTTTTACATCAAATTTAAAAGCTAGAGAGTTCTGTTTATGTTGGTTGTGCATCGTCACAGATATTTTGTACATTTTTAGCCCAATGTATCTTTGTTGTTATTATGGTTTTACCAAAATGTCCTCTGTCCTCTGTAAACAAATATTATAAAGAATTTTGGTCAGTGCAAACAATGCCTCAATTCACTCCTATAAGTTTCCTTTAGAAATTATTGATGATTTTATTTATTTATTTATTTAAACAAAACAATATCAAAACAACAAAAACAGTGAATACAGGCCAGTTAATTAAGTGTTGTCAGGGGATAAGGGGGTGAAGTTATTTTGGCTCTGGTGTGTGTGTGTGTGTGTGTGTGTGTGTGTGTGTGTGTGTGGTTGTGTCTGTGTATCTGTATGTCTATACTCTACAGTTTTGACAGGTGAAAGGATGGGGGAAGAGGAAAATAACAATAATAATAACAACAACAATGATAATAATAATAATAATTATCATTATTATTATTATTATTATTATTATTGGTGGTAACAGGGTGAAGGTAGGGTTAGTTTTAGTGTACTTTCTCCCCTTAATCATTATTGTTATTATTGTTATTATTATTATTATAAGTAGTAATAGTAGTAGTAGTATTGATAAATTCTAAGGATTTAAATTTAGACACAAACTTTATATTCAATGTGACTGTCAAACTACAAGCACCTATTTATTTATTAAAAGCAGTGTTAGAAAGGTTACTTTTGAAATGTAATAAGTCACAGATTACTAGTTACTCTGTTAAAAATGTAATTTGTGATGTAACTATTCTAATTACTTCATCACAGCAATGTAACGCATTACATTTGATTACTTACTTTTCTTTCAAATGTTTTAAATTGGACAATAAAGCTGAAAAGTCCCAAAATCAGAAGTGCATTAAATATGGAATTCAGATTTGTGTCAAAGTCTTTGTTGACCTGTGTTGTCTGGAAATATGCCAAAAGAAGACATTCATGAACAGCAGAAGATGCAAAGCAACAGAATTAATGTTATATTCTACATATGCGGTTTTTTCTTCTTTTTTTTTATACCAAAACAATGTACTTGTATGTAACCCGTGTAATAACCAATACTGTGTTTAGTAACTGTTATCATTTTCTCATTAACTGTAGCCTAACTGAATAGCATTGCATTTCTTTTGTAATTTAATTAGGTAGAACTGTTACATGTAGCCTAACTAGTTACACCCTGACACTGATTATAAAACTTTAGTGTATGTTGTCGATACTGTTAATCACTGCACTTCATGGTCATTGTAACCCCGCCCACGCTAGTCCGGTCAGCTGTGTTTTCACCCTTTCCTTCCCTGCAGCAGCAGCAGCCTGCGGCTCTCTCGTCACCTCAACATGCCATAGAAAAGGAGCGGTATGTGTTCTCTATAGGAGGGGACACTGCAGCATAGTTAGCCTGTTTTTCTTCTTCTAGCAGAGACAAGCTAGGGGCAACAGGTGTGCCGACACCAGCAGGTGAGATGAAGTTTCTTCTTCCTACGACTACTGCAAATCAAAAGCTTTATTTTAGTCCTTTTGTGTGGACAAATGGTTATATGATGGGCAACGTGTTTTCTCTGCAGATGGCTCACGCTGCTGAAAGTACCGCAAAATAAAGGGAGATTAGAGATAAAGAGCGTTTCATTTCTCTCTGTAATTTCTGTTGGGCTAAAAAAAACGCACTGGTTTGTCTGGACCAACAACTTCTGCAAGAAGTGTTCATGTTTTCATGAACCCACAGGTGAAGCCTTCAACTTATTTTTCCAAAATAAACTCTGTTCAAACTCCCATTGTTACTCATAAGGTGCAGGTATTCACTATCAGTGAGTGTTAGTGACAACAATAGAAGGGGAACTGGTCAGAACACACCCAAAGGGGGGCATACCATAGGCCCAGCTGTTTGCAGTAGCAGTTCATCCTCAGGTGGGTGCTTGTTGTTTGTTTTGTTGCCTCCATAGATGCTGATTTACCTTGGTGACAACAGTGATTTACATTTCTCTCTCTCTCTCTCTCTCTCTCTCTCTCTCTCTCTCTTTCTCTCTCTCCCTCTCTCTCTCTCTCATCCAGTGTGTGTGTGTGTGTGTTTGTGTTTGTCAGGAGGGTAATGGTTTCAGGTTTGACTACATACCTGTTTTTCCGGAGTACACGACACACATGGAGAAGAATGCCTACCTATGGAATGCTCTCATGTTGTGTGTATTTGTTTTATAACTGTGTGGAGAGACTGCAAGTGAAAATGAGTTTAAAAAAACTTCAGTCCAGACTGATATGTCAAATGAAAACATTAAAATTTTATGCTGAATATGGTCCCTCACATATGAATTAAAAAGTGCAATTGCAGTATCTCAGGGCTCACCAAAACAGCTCTGGTTTGTTAATCTGTCTATCGAATATTCACAGCATGTGCTCTTGGCTGCTAATTGTGAAGTTTTATTAACTTTCTCTCCCAATTTTAATCCCCCTCAGATTGTATTAAGCTCAGTCTTCATAATTTATGATTTACTATGTTGATTGATGCATTCTAAAAATCACTTGAAAATCTCCCCCTAGAGAGTGCTTATTGGCATCACATCAAAGCACATTGCAGGCTCTTATCAGATGAGCCATTAAGAGGTCTTTCGTGATACATAACTTTGCAGTTTTCAAATATTCATTTAATTCTGTCTGGCATCCTCTCATAGAAAGTCACCTCTCTTTCATCTCCTTTGATGCCTCTGGTCAACTTCACTGTTTCATCATGATGTCCTGCAAAAACATTTAATGACAGACATAGATGTAAGCTGCTACTGCAACTGACTGGTTCACAGAGGCATTCAACTGCAAGGTGGTAATTCTAGTTCTGTTTTGTGTCCCACAGGCTGTTGTGTCCAGCAGTCCTCTGTTTGTATTCCGCTTCCCCTTCTTCTCCTCCACCCATCACCCAGCTATGTCGGGAGACACTCTGCAGCGTCTCAGCACCTTGACCCTAAGCATCAAATACCTCAGCCGCCTGCCCCACTTCTCAGACCTCATTCCTCCCTGCCTTCCGTCACCCAGCCCCACTGTCGCTGCCTCCCAGGTCCCTATTCTGTTCCGAGAGCCCTACATCCTGTCGGGCTACCGTCCTGTCCAGCAGCACTGGCACTTCTACCTCCTCAGCCTCTTTCAAAGACATAATGAATCCTTAAACGTGTGGACCCACTTGTTGGCAGGTCCTGTGCTGCTGCTCCGCTGGTGGGCCAACATAGGTGCCCTGGGGTACACCTTGGACACAGCCTCTCTACCTCTGAGCCTCTTCCTGGTGTCGTCCCTCACCTATCTGTTCTGTAGTGTGGCAGCTCACCTCTTGCAGTCTCACTCTGAACATGCACACTACTTCTTCTTCTTCATTGACTATGTTGGTGTAGCTGTGTATCAGTATGGTTGCTCACTTGGCCATTATTTCTACACGTCAGAGGCAGCATGGAGAGAAAGCTGCATTGGGCTCCTGTTCCTACCTGGAGCTGCCTTCTTCGGGTGGCTCTCCTGTGCAGGCTGCTGTTTTGCTAAGGCCAGGTATCGGCGGCCATATCCAATACGGCGTAAAATCTGTCAACTGATCCCTACCACCCTAGCATACATACTGGGCATCAGCCCAGTAGTCCATCGCCTGTTCACTGTCTCCTGGACACAGGATCCCTCACTCTCCTTCCATGCTCTCCAGATTGCCTCTTTCCTTCTGTCCGCCCTGTTCTTCTCCTGTCCCATCCCTGAGCGCTTTTTCCCTGGCTGCTGTGACTTTTTGGGTCAGGGTCACCAGATCTTCCACCTGTTTCTGTCCCTGTGCACGATGTTCCAGCTGGAGGCTCTGTTCCAGGACTATGCCAGGCAGAGAGATACAGTGATGGAGTTATTTGGAGAGAGGCAGCTGTGGTGGGCTTGTGTATCCTTCCCTGCCCTGTTCTTGTGTTGCATCCTGACGGCACTCATTACAATGAAGTACATCACAAAGCAGCTGCAGGGTAAACAAGAAAAAGACAAGTGACAAGAGTTTGTTAATGTGTGTGTCTGAGAGACAAAGATAGAAAGGGGTTGGGTTTAAATGTACCTAACAGAAATATTAATAACAATGATAATAATAATAAAAAAAGCCATATTAGGATTTTTTGTTTACCTGTCAGTTTGTCTGTGAAAAATGTGATTGCATAAAGTATTCCAACAATAAAAATGTCAAAGAACTTCTTGTCTGATACAATTAACAAGTCATCTGACATTTCCAAAGGGTTAAGTCATTGATTCAACGCAGAAATAGTTGGCTCAGTGGACTCCATACTTTGCTAACTATGGCTCAGTAAAGTTTTCCACAGTGAATCATCCTTCCTTTTAATTGCTGCTGATGATGGTTCTGAGGACAATACTAATAAAGGACATTGGTCTCAAACATGTAATTCTATCGGTCATTTTAGGAAATATCAGAATTATCAACACATACATTGTAAATAACTGTAGAGAAGTTGCATTTTCAAGCTCCGTTTACCTAATCATATACAGAAAAAAGCAACTGCGTATTCAAAATTAGCTAACTAGTTTTAGACATACTGCTACTCCAGACGTACGTTGCCAGCTTTAGCTCTCAGAGGTAAATAGCAGTGTCAGCATTAAAATACGGAGTGAAAGAGCAAATCTGGATTATGGAGTTCATTGGCGGATTATGAGACAATGGGCCCCTGGGCACAGATATGCAAAAGGCCCCATTACCTCTCCTACAAAGCAGCAAGGCACACAGACTTGTGTCAGTTTGTGTCTCTTTGTAGTCATGTCATGCCTCTTTGATGTCATTTCATGCTTCTTTGAGGTCATTTTGTGTCTCAGTGGTTGTTTTGTTTCTCTTTATAGTCATTTTGTGTCTCTTTAAGGTCATTTTATGTGTCCTTATAGTCATTTTCTGTTTGCTTGAAGTCATTTTGTGTCTCTTTGGGGTCATTTTGTGTCTTGTTGAGGGCATTTTGTTTCTTTTTGAAGTCATTTTGTGCCTCTTTGGGGTCATTTTGTGTCTGTGAAATCATTTTGTTTCTATGTAGTCATGTTATGTCTCTTTGAGGTCATTTAGTCTCTGTGGTTGTTTTGTGTCTCTTTGAAGTCATTTTTTGCCTCTTTGGGGTGATTTTGTGTCTCTGTGAAATCATTTCCTGTCTGTGCAGTCATTTTGTTTTTCTTTGTGGTTTTTTTGTTTATCTTTGTAGTCATCTTGTGCTTCCTTGAGGTCATGTTGTGTCTCTTTGAGATCATTTTGTATCTATTTGAGGTCATTGAATTTGTGTCTGTTTTAGGGCATTATGTGTCTCTTTGGGGTCATTTTGTGTTTCTTTATAGTCATTTTGTGACAAACTTGAGGCCCCTAGGCCTGTGCCTGGTGGGCCCGTTCAGTAATCTGTCCATGTGTTCATCGAAGTGGCCCAGCCAGATAGTGGGATTTGGGTGAACAAAGAGGCTAGTTTAACACTAAGGCAGGGGGAAAGAGCGCATGGACACAAGCTGGCAGGAGGGTCTCCACGTGGTCAAAATCCCTCAGCAGATCCAGTTATAGAAAAATGTGTGTGTGTGTGTGTGTGTGTGTGTGTGTGTGTGTTTGTGCCTGTCTGCATGTGTAGGAAAAGATGACAGAAGACAACACTGACCCACAGGGGCAAAAGGCAGCACCTGCATGGTTTTTCATATATTTCTTTGCTCAATCCAATGGTCTCTACAACCCTTAAGATGTGCTGAAAAGCAAAAAAAAAAAAGAAAGAAGTGGGAGCAGATGAAAGACTGGCTTACCTCAGCATAATGAGCAGCATAATGTAGCAAGTGCATATGGAGAGCATGAGACAACAAAAACAGAAACCAAAGCAAAGTGGAAAAAGTCACAAATCCTTGGAAAATACTGAATATTTAGAGCTAGCTATTAAAAAAATCAAGGGTCTTTTGATGCTAATGTTAAACACAGAAATATGTTGTTGACCCTGTTTGTCCACATGGAGGAAACAAGGCTGTTGTCAGTGTGTCTCTGTGGTTTTGCCTGTTCTTTGTTAGTTGCTAAATATTGTATTGCAGTCATGTTAAGCAGGTAGCCACACCTTTTGTTTCTAATATGTAGAATGAATTCCCTCAGGATGAGTTTCAGGATGGCCCAGTATCAGTCAGTGCTCAGGAGTCTGTTTTTAAAGCGATAGTTTTCACAAATACATTTAGGTAAATGTTACTCTTTGCTTTCTTGATGAAGGTTAAAGTTACAGTTGATAACTTTTATGAAAATAAACTTCTTGCTGATACTGTCACTGTATCCTGACAGCAGTGCACAAGAGAGATAATCTGTAAAGACAAGAATTCATGTCCCTCCTCCTACTCCTACACATCGTGTGAAAACCAAGCACCACCCACCAGCCAGAGCAAACTTTCTCATTTTACAGTTAAACAGTACAAAAATATGTTTCTGAAAACATCTAAGGAGAGAAATAGTCAGTGCAGAAACAGAATCTTGATTAATATTTGATCAACACTGCCTAGTTTTTTAAAGTGATTGACATGACTGACAGCTGCGTTAGAGACTCCTCAGCTTGATTGGTTGTTTTCATTCACGTGCGATAATGCCATTAGAAGCCCTATGAGGAAGCGGAGGAACATGATTTTTGTCTCATGCATAGATTTCATAAAATAATGGATGTAGCAACGGTGACATCACCCATTGGTTTGTCAACTCCCTTTCTGAAGCCTTGAGTTCAGCATGTTGGCCGTTGCCATCTTGGTTTCTTTTTTGGAGTCAGGAGTGACCATCTCTGGACAACGGCTGTGGAGGAGTAAGGGGTGGATCTGGATCTAAATTGAGGACACAGTCGAGAGACAGCCTGTCACCCAAAGTGACCTGTAAGGCATGACCCAGAAATGCAGATCACTGGCACCCTTCTATAATGTAGTCTGTAATGACATGACAACACACAATAACCTTCGGATGATATTTTTCTGGTGTCACATTGGAAGAAGTGGAGCAGGGTGGATCATTGTGGATAAATTAGCTGAAATCCTGTTGGTAACGTGTTGCTAAAATTACTGTAATGTGTTACCCTCAACACTGTTTATGAAGCAGACACACAAAGCACAAAATTTCAGCTTGGACTCTTCTTTGTCTCAGCTCTCACAGCCCAAAGAGACATGCAATCATGCCACGCCTAAAAATCACCTCTAAAGTTTATGGTGGATATTTTCTTCTTACCTTTGTAGGCTACAGAGCCGGACTAGCTGATTCCTCTTCTTTCCAGACTGTTAAGATGTTAAGCTAAGCTAAACAGCTGCTGGCTGAATCTTCATTTTCAACTTACCAGATTGGTATCAAACTTCTCATCTAACTCTCGGCAAGAAAGCAAATGACTGCAGCCTATTTTCTGAAATCTCAGTTGGAGAGGATTTTTTCCCCTTAAATATTGAATGATGAAATGTTTTGAAATGTGGTAGCCAGTACAGAAAAGCTAAATCTTAAAACTATTTGAGAAAGGCTACAGGATAATGAGTCTGTTATTTGAGATATGGTTTGTATGTGCACGAAGGCCCACTTTCCTCTGCAGAGTTAAACTCAGCTAGTGTCAGGAAGGTTATTGTTTTTCCAATTTGCCCTCAAATAGAGATTATTTGTTGGCTGGGTTCATTCCTATATGAGCAAATTGTGCTTTCAGGATTATGTTACAAATATTAGAAATTGGCTATGATTCCTGCAGGCTTCCTTTCCCCCTGCAGTGAGAGTGGGGCTATTGATTTTGCTTTGTGCCGCTGAGCAAATCTCACACAGATCTCAGAGAAGGAACAAATGAATTTGTTGAGAGCTATGGATTGCCTGATCTGCAGTGCTTCAGGAGATGATTACGACAGAATGGGGCTGTTAAACAAGTAATGGGCATAGGCGTTACTTGGTGTCAGTGTCATTACTAACAAAGAGGTATGTGTGTAATCTTTAAAGAGTCAAGGGTGGTGAGGTATGTGAGTGTGGATGTGTATGTTCGGGGAAGTTATTGAAATTCTTTTTCTACTTTACCTTTATGTATGTCTCTGCAGCTGTGAAGATTTATCTTGTAGCAAATAGGTTATTAAAGAAATAGTTCCATTTTGCTTATTCACATTTTTGCAGATAGTTAGATGATACCACTGTAATATCTGGCTGTTAGAATTTACCAGACAGATGTGGGGGTGATCTCAGTCTTCTCATCTAACTCTCAGCAAGAAGGCAAATATGTACAAAATGTCTGACTAAAACACTGAGCTTTCTAAACAAAGTCTTCACTTTAGTGAAACCTAATAGAAATCAACAGAAATCAGTATACATGCAATTTTACACACTTTTCTAAAAATGGAAAAACATTGTTTATGGTGGGGGGAAACAGCAGGAGGAAACTGTATGAAACATGTTTAATTATTATCGATAAAGCATGACTGCAGAATTACGTAATTGGTCTGCTCCCTTGGCACTGACTGTGGTAATTCCACTGACCAAGCAGTCGACTTCAGGGCTGACAGCGTGTGCATGCAGGAGTAGCTGGAAACCAACACAAAGTATATCTTGTATACATGCTGGTATTTATTTTTGTGTAGGCTTTCCAGCAGTTGCTACATTCATTTGCTCACTAACCAGTCATCTTAGCTGTAGTGGCCCCGCAAGACATTTTTCAGAGGAGTGGCCAGGTGGAGCCACTGATAATCTTGGGGTGGCAAACCAAAACCAAAAATCATAACTGAATTTCAGGAAACATTTCCAGGATATTTTGGCTTAATGTTTGTACAGTAGGAGGAAGTGGAAATGTGTAGTCCATCTCTCTATACAGTGACATCATAATATTCTGCAAAAAACACTTTTCTGGTCATTACTCAACATCATAACTCAGGAACAGAAGATGAAATACTTGGATCAGATACTAAATTGATGACACTAATTTTGGGTGCCCAGCTTGAAACTGTGCTAATTGTATAGATCGTCTGTGCTGTTGGGGGACAATGGGTGTGAAGCATCCATGTTTCCACAGACAAGGATGTAAACTGTAACAGAAACTTGACAGGTAAACAGAGGCATACAGACGCAAGGTGGTAATTCTTGTTTTTAATATAGACCACAGGAATAACATGTATGACTTTTGAAAATGGATATAATTCCCGTTTAAAAAGAGAAATTTACAGCTTCAAATTGAAGGAGTACACTGTAAGAAAAACAGGTGGGGGAGGGACATTAATTGTATAATGGTGGATGTAAGCACTACAGCGGTGACTTTATCATATACATCATCCCTTAGTTTCCTGCCTCAAGCTCTGATCTTTTCAAAGTGAAAGTGATCTAAAACATGGTAATCCAGTTACACTGGCCCTGTCTGCATCCAAAGCCTGCTCTGTGTCAGAACAATGATCCTTTTTTCTGTAATACCTCCCTT